CTGAGAGAGAACTTTTGTTTTTGAGAGCTTTTGGGGAGACAAGTCTGAAACTCTGTTCCGGAGAGAGAAGATTTCGAACCCCTGTTTATTAATCTATTTACTGCTTTCTGCAATCTATTCATTGATGTTTATTGCTTCAATCTTCATGTCTGAGTAGTTTGCTTGTTAGGTTTAAGGTTCTCATAAAGGATTTCATTGGATGTTAGATTGATTTGTTAATTAGGGTTCATAATCTATTTAGTTCTTCACCTAGAAGACTTGAAGACCTATAAATAGATGTTTTAGCAGCTCTATTTATTGTGTGTGCTCCTTTAATGAATTTTTGAACAACCAAACTTTTATTTTTTAGGTTTAGGTCAGGGTGATAGAGATTTTTCCCTTGAACCCTTTGTTATATATTTTTTTATCTATCTATTTCAGTTTATGCATTTATCTATTATGCATTTATTTTCTTGCATCATGTTAGAGTAGTATAGTAGTTATTTAGAAACATCGAAGAGGAACCCATGTTCGATTAAGATTGTTATTTTTCTTAACCATATTTTAGATCTCATCTCTTCTAAGTGGTATTTAATGCATGAGGTTAGAGTCATGAACTTATCTCTGAGCCGAGCTTTAATCAGAGCCACAAGAGTGATGTATCAGATTGCCATACATAGCTTCAGAAAAACATAATCGTTGTAAGAGACGAGAGTTACCTACAGAGAAGATGTGAACAAGAATGAATTCAGTTCAGTTAATGCATGATATCACTCGCAGCTAGAGATGAAAGCTACTGGTTGAGTTTGAGGGATTAATCGGTTAGAATGATGAGAGTTGGCTAGCCATATTAGTTTATTCTAGATCCATGCAGATACTTAGAAATCGCTAAAGACATACTATCTGTAGGCTAATTAGAAGATACTTAAATATCGATTAGGATATTCAGGAAGAGTCTGAATCAAAATCCTATGAGCTTTAGAACCCTGACATGAATCGAACATCCTCTAGATATCCATTTATCTACTAGATATCCCTGATTAGATCTCGAAAATTTATCTATTTTTATTTTAATTTTTCTTTTCCATATCACCAAAAAACTTTATAAAAATTCCTTGATTTTCTTAATCCGTTTACTAAGTTATTCTATTTCTAAAATATAAAAAATATTTGTATGTTTATTTATTTTAAATTTTTTTTTTTTTGTTTCATGAGGTTATAAATTTAATTTTTGGCGTTTAGTTTTATGTGACAAATATTAAAATTTAAAATCTAGCTTTCATTTTAATTTTATAATTACTGAGATTTATAATATAGTTCGCACACACGTACTAATGATTATTGAGATATAAAACATATAATATAGTTTGATGCTAATGGTCTCATCAAACCATATTTTAATTTGATTTGTTTGATGCTAAAATTTTGTGATGCTGAAATTGTTTGATGCTAAAATTGTTTGATGCTGAAATTTTTTGATGCTAATGGTCTTATCAAGCGCACACGTACTAATGGATATTCACGTGGTGAATTGCATAGTTGAATTCAAAATAGATTAAATTATTTTGAGATTACCATTTATTATCTTGCACATTCAAATTTACATTATATTAAATTGGGAAAATTGGAAATATATGACAAAAAAACTTACATATTGTCCCAATAATACTTTCTTAACTTTTGTCAATTTTTTACTAAATTACCCTGAATTAAATGTATGAAATTTTAAATAATTCTTTTAATAATTTTAAAAAATTTCAAAAATTATAAAAAAAAGAAAGAAAATATCTATTGAAAAATATTTTATAAAAAAAGCAAGATTAAGAATTTTTTTTTTACTTGTTCTACAAAATCCAGAATTTGTATTCTAGTTTTACAATTTTGGTCGATTATGTGTTTTACTATTTGATCTATAATCTACCAAATCTATTTTTTTTTTAATCTACCAAATCTAGAATATATATTCTACTATTTGTTCTATGTTCTACTAAGAGTTAGAATATATTTTCTTAAATTTGTTTATATTCCACCAAGTTTTGAATATATATTCTAACTCTTTCTCTATATTCTACATTATGTAAAATAGAAATTCTACAATTTTTTCTTTGTTCTAGGGACTGTAGAATTTGTCTTCTGCCTAAGTGGTTAAAAAATTCTGAGAAAATCTAAGATTCAGATTAACTACTCAAACCAAAAAACTTAACAAAATTTTATGGCATTATCTTCTTCGTTTCTTTCACCTATTTTCTGCTTGAACTTGAAAAAACATCGTCATAGCTTTCAAAATTAAGAATGTCTTTGCAGCCATCAGTTCTAGTCCACGAAGGTTTGTTTGTGTGAAGAAACCTATGCCATTCTTCTGTGGCTGTCAAAGCAATGTCGCGCATAACTCATAAGAGGCTTATCCATGTTCGATATAGCCAATTTGGGATCAGAATGCGGCTTATTAGGCACAACAGCCATTGAACTTCCTCGAAGAAGATCAAAATCCAGTGAAGGACCTTGACCACAATCAATTAAGCTATTTATCGACAAATCCAACGACAAGATGTGCATTTGATGCAGCGTTGAGAGTTGGGAGAATATTGGTTTTCCCATATACTTTGATGTTATGGTCCACATTCTTTCAAGTTGTGCAGAAGATCAGATTAGAAGTTAAAGGCTTTTAAATCAAAACGAAAATCAACAAAACAAATCAACCTCTTCTCTAAGATGTGCATTTTCAGTCCTAAGCTTTTGCTCATCAAAATAAGGATCTTCACTACCAGGAGGACCTCCATAGTTGAGCGGTGTGATTGTGATAATGTTTCTTCCTCGTATGAGCTGTCGTGCTGCCGGCTACCACCACCATTTCTGCCGCTTCCATTCCTACTTCTGCCATGCTGAAACTCATATAAGAAAGAAAGTAGTAAAACTCTGTTTTTTCTAATGACGGGGAAGAAGATGTTCTTTAATCTCAGATTTGCTTTTTGTGTATGTCTTATTTCTCAAAAATAAATTTATTTCATCAAAAATAAATTGTATTGTTTTAAATTATACGCAAATATATTAATTAGCATTAATTTAAGGGTAAAATTGAATTTCTATTATTATGAATCTTAGTGGGACAATGTTTGGTAAAAAATATTATTAGGACAATAGGTGAGTTTTTTGGTGCTATATTTCTAATTGGGTGTATTAAATTTCATATTAAAATATAGTTATGCATTTCAAATTTAATCATAATAAATTGTATATTTAATTCAAATTGCAAACAAATCAATATTCATTAAATAGAGATTTTGGTGGCAAGAGTGATTTTCGCTATTGATGTAATTTTCATTAAAGTTATATTTTTGCTGTTGATAATTAGAATGTTTTTATTAGTTTACCTCTAAAACCAGTTAAATTATTTTCATATCATATGATTTAAAAAAAACTACCAAAATAATATATAAATATCTCACGCCGCATATGGAGTGGTTTACAACTTAGCTATGAACTATTAAGCATAAAGATGAGATTGTTTTCACTCAAATTATCTTTCCCAATTGTACACTATTTCTCTTTATACAGTAAAACACTACACACACTTGCTAAGAAATAAGTTTTTCTCAATGGGAGAAGAATGTGTTTAAAATTGGTATATATACAATTGACTTGTACCAACACTCACAGTTAATTTAACTAAACCAAAACTATAACACAGTTAAAACCTCTACAAACTTATAATGTCGAACTTTGAAAATTTATTAATTTATAGAGAATTAATAGATAAATTAATATTTATTAATTTGTAGAGAAAACTTTTTATGTCCATAGTCTAAAAATTTATTTGTCAATATAATTTTCTAAATATTTTTTATGTTATATTTTTACAAATTATAAAAGAGATGGTAGGAATGTCGATTCCCCTTACGGCCTTACCATTCGTTAGTATGTAAACACAAGAATGAAGGGGGCATGCTTTTGTTGTGTTTTTATGCGCTACGTTTTGTGTCCTTAAATGATTGGATCAGTATTAGGTGTCATGACCCATCATGGCTGACAAGCAGTGGCGGAGTCAGAATTTTTTTTCATTGGGGACAAATAAAAATATATATAATTTTAAGAGTGTGGGCATTGATATTAAGCTTTAACAAATTACAAAAAAATTTTAAAATCACTGCGGGCGAATGACTCCATTCTACATAATGTGGCTCCGCCACTGCTGACAAGCCTGGAGCACGTTGAGGACGGCAAGTGGTCGCTTAAAGCCACAAGATGATCACGCTCCATCTAGGCGTAGAAACTATATAGCGTCTAGGGAGTCATTTTTTGTTGTGTGAGTGGCTTCAGACATTGTTTATTGTGTATTAACTTAAGAAGCGTTTGTCCATGGTTTTAAATGTTTGTGTGAACTCGTTAGTCTCTATTGCTCATTCATTACGCATCCTCTCCTCTTTCCTTTTTCTTTTGTAGGTTAGTCAGAAAGAATTACCGAATCAAGTTTTAGGTTGGTGGATTCTGTTCAAGGAATATCGGATCCTGGGATCAGACCAAGGGAGAAGAATTGTTATCTTAGCATGTGTGGCATATACAGATGTCATGATATGTCGTCTTATTCAATGTGGCTGGGGATGAATGTCACATAAGCTTACTCTAGGATCAGCAACATCCGTTACAAGATGTCATACCATCCTTTACTTGGATTAATTAACATGCATTTTGATACCATATTAAATGTTATGAGCTTCAGAAACAAACCAATTGAAAATAAATGGATTGGCTCAAGTATCTTATATACTATTATAAATCGCATCAAACTTTAATTGTGGGATTCTGACAGTATATACTGTGCATTTTTTGCAAACTACCCCAATATAACAGCTCTTATAACCGTCGAATCCCTCGTAATGAGAAAGATTATGAACCGGTTCCAGCCTAAAACTGCACAAAAATAGCTAATCTCTTTCTATCACACTGTTTTATTTCACTAAGCGTTAGATTCATTATTTATATAACAATCAAAGTTAATATAGTATATTTAACAAAATTCTCTGTATAGAAAATTATCTATATCATTACCTCGAAAATACAGTAAGACCACCAACGGCTTGTTAATGTATTTGATAACAGCCTTACAAAAACCCAAAAAAAGAAAAAAAAAAAGCAATCTTAATAAACTAAAAATAACACTAATTCACACAAAAATATTTCATTTCTTAGTTTTGTGTGAGTCAAGGACACCTACGGTTTCGACCAGGCCCTCCATAGTAAAAATAGGTACCCCATACGTTGTTTTTGCCTTGTCTAATATCATAACAAGCAGGGTGATCGGCCAAGACATGGAGATTGTTCAGAGGCAAGAGATTGTTGTCCCAATCAACGACTTGTAAGTTCCTAAAATAGGCTGCTTTCTCAAAGCCTTCGTCTGCGAAATGGCCGCTTCCCATCTGTGTTCCCGTATGAGCGCCACTTGATCGACTGTTGACAACTTCGCCACCAAATTGAACCATACTTGCATGACTCCTTAAGTGGCTGAACAAGAAGACTGGCCAATAGCCCACAAGAAGTCCATTTCCAAGTTCAAGCCACCAATGCCCATGTTTTGGGTCCTACAACATGTTTGAATTGATCACAGATGAGATGGCAATGCCACGTTTAGGTTCAAGACAAAAAAAAATGTATAGTAAAAGAACGAAGGCATCAAGAATAAATCCAAAATTTTTTTGCAGTAAAAACTATTCGAAGAAATGAAATATATTTTGTGAATTTTGTTTTTATATTACATTAACATTTTAAGAAATGAGATATTTTATATATATGATAATAACGTAAGTAGTGAATTCAACTAGAATGTTCTCATCATGTTCTGTTTAGTGATTAGGTTTATTATTTTTTAGTGATTAGGTTTATAATAACAAAAAAATAAGTTTAAAAAAAGTTGGTGGTTGTGACTAAAACGTAAGTACATGCAAACAATCTAAACCTTCAAGACCTATGCTTTTAAACCAAAACAGGCCAACATGAACATGCTTTTGCATAGATAAGGGTAACTAAATAAGAGTATTCTATGACTCCCTCATCATGAGTTTTTTGTTTAATAACCCTCGTTATTTGAGTTACCATTTAAACTTATGTTTTATATTTTGGTTTATATAATGGGTGTCAGTAAAATTTTCCCATATAGGTTTCTAGTTGATGTACATTTAAGCTCTGCTTTTACTGCAGAGGTGCAATGAAGTTTCTGTCATCAATTTCATATCCAAAATTTAATGCTCTTACCAAATCCAAACTTTTTATTTATTATTAGAAATGTTTTGGAAAAGCTGAAGCTATCGTTCTTTTATCAGTTCAGTTTATGAAATGCGAGGTTAGTTGCTTTATTTATTATTTATCAAAGAGTTGTTCGTATTCAAAGTAACTACAGTGACACAAATTGTAATAACTAAGCAAGCATTGTCTCGAGGTCATTTTCATTTGTTTAATGGTTTATATTATGTTCATATCTTACGTTAGTTTTTTTTTTTTTAATGTGATTTATGTTTAAAATACAACGCATCCCCTGAAATACTTACCATGATGATTTTGTTTTCAAGTTTTTTCATGAGAAAATGGAGTAAGTAAATATGGCATCAAATAAATGCTTACATTTCACTATGGCGTAATTAGTATATTCTTATTTACTATATATACTTTTCATGTTTATTGTATCATATTCATATACTATACTCCTTCTGCTTCATAAAGTTTTGCACACTGCACACACATTAGTTTTTTACAAAAGTTAATATACCATTACTTTAGAATTAATTATTAATTATTGTACATATGTTAACTCTAATTAATAGAGCAAAACAATAAAATAATTACACATATTTTGCATAGAAAACACAATACATCTATCTTTATGATAATTTGTTTTCTAAAAAATTATTATAAATTAAACAGAGAAAATACTGATTTGCCCAATAAACCTAAAAGGCATCACAAAAGCATCGATATCGTATTGTATATATATGTCATGTGTTAGAAGAAGTGGATCTATGTAATAAACTTAAGAAAAGTATATTCAAAGAAGACAATGAAAGAATGTTAGAGGGACTCAGATTAACTGTTTTGTTTTGAGAGTTTTTCTCTCTCTCTTCTCTCATCCATATCTTTGAGAGAGAGAGAGAGTTTTTCTCTCTTTTTGTTGTAAATTTTCCGGTGATATCCGGATTCAATAATTCCGTTCAACGGATCTTGTCTTCCGGCTATGTCCGGATTTAGTTTTATCCGCTCTGCGAATCTCCTTTTGCTATATACGATCTATTCTTTTTTCGAGTGAAGACAGCTCTTTGCTATTTCTTAGTGGAGCAAGGAATTTCTTCCAAACTGAAGAATTAGTTATGACGGGCTTTATAAGACAAGCAAATGGTTTTTCGTTGTCGGATTTTGGCTCTTTTCTACAGATTTGAGTTTCTCCTCTCGTTATGAGGTAGAAAGGTAAAGGTGGTCGAGAATTCTATTCCCAAATTGGCATCATCCTTTCATGGCTGAGAGTTCATCTCTCTTAATTCCCTCTTAGAGAGCTTTAAGAGCCAGAGGGTAAGTCTTGAGAATGAGATGATCAGAAGTAATTTTATAGAGGCAAGAAGAATTTCAGCCACCAAGGATTTCATTGTAGAAAGAGCTTTCTTTGGCACCAGTGGAGACAAATCGGAGTCCTGCGGCAGCTTTGGCGTGATGGAATGGTTCGATTTCATCGAATCTTAGGTTTCCGGCGAAGCTTTGTATCACCGTTGTTATCGGCGGCGTCTTCTCACCATCAACCTCGACTCCGTCTTTCCTTGCCGCGTGTAGCACACGTGTCTTTAGAATAGTATTCCTTATCTTTTTGTGTTATTGGACTTTGTTGGGCTTCATTTCAATTTGTATTGTCTCCATGATTTAGGCCGGTTGTAATATGCCCTTTGGGCTTCAATATAATACAAAGACGTCAAAAAAAAAAACTGTTTTTTGTGGGATATGCTTATTATGAATGTGTCGGTCTGAATAAAAGTTTATTTTCAGCTGACATGTGTAGCGTTTGAAGTGCGTTCTTGACTAACTGTATGTCGGTCTACTACTTTTTAATTGCAATATTTTGTTTTGATGTACTTATCTTAAAGACTTAAGTTTGAAGGAATCATAAATGAATCATTAATTACAAACATTTTTAATTGTATGGTGGGTCAGCTTCTACCTCTTAATATATACTCCTTCTTAATATATACTCCTTCTGTTTCAAAAAAATATCGTTTTAAATTTTTATTTTTGTTTTACAAAAAATATCGTTTTATATTTTCAATGCAAAATTTTAAACAATATTCCAGTTTTAACCCTATTAATTTAATATATTTATTAGATAAGAACAAATCATTTAATATATTAATAAAATATAAAATTGTACTTTTAATAATTTTCTTAATATATGTGAAAAATGTCAGAATGACACTTTTTATGAAACGAAGGAAGTACTATCTAGAAAGAAAAGAAGAACACCTAGTTGCACCCAACAAAAAAAGAAGAGCACCTATTAATGCGCAATATTACACATTCCGATTCATTTACATTTCGAAGTTCATTGGTAAATTCAAACACCACATTCACGTAGTACTATTATTTGATTCTACCATATTTGTCATCAAACACTGTCATGAGAAAATAAGATACTTTTCTCCGTTTCACAAACCGTATTGGTTTTATTTTTGTTCTATAGAGTATTGTTTTGTAATTTTAATGTATCAATAAAAATCCATTTTTAAGTTTATTATATTAATGTATTTATGAAAAATTAAAAATTTAAGTATATAGAGGAATCAAATAATTCTTTTTTAATATATGTGAAAAAACTGTAAAACGCTTTTCTCCGTGAAACAGTATTCTGTTAGTTTTGTGTCGTTTGATCAAAATCTTTTTTTGTATACTATATTGTTTATTTTAAGTTTTCAGGGCTTCGTGAATTGATAAAATATGGTTAGAAGTGTGGAAATAAATGGAAGAAAAGAAGACTGACCTTCCAAATCATTAAACCGATATCAAACTGTCTTCCATTATAAGAGGACCTCGGGGAAATCGCTGCACCAATTGCAATTTTATTGTTGGTTTGTACGAAACCTGAACAAAGTAAATTGTAGCACCCAGTTGCTTGGTATGCATCTGTCTGCATTTTCAACAAATAAATTCAATTTCATTTTCCATGATATTATATAAATCCATTAAGAAAAAAATGTTGAAAAACTAATATAGACTTGTATTTATCTTTACCGTCCAATATGTGAAGAATCTTGGATAATTATCTCCATATAGCTCAGGACTAACCTGCAAAAAAGATTCAAATGCTATGTAATCAGTAATCAGTTCATCACCAACCTAATTATTAATTGGACCCACTCTATATCCCCACCACATTCTTTTGCAAGTCACTACTGTATAATACTAGTTGATTAGTGGGTCGGTTCTCCATTTAGAAAAATAAAAGATGAACAAAGGTCATTGATTGTTTCGAAAGTTAATATTTGTGTGTTTCGGAAAATATAAACGTAAACTTCAAACGTAAAAAACACAACCGTAATATAAAAAGACATTATTTTCTCTTTATGTTTGACGTTTGGCTTTGTAATAACAAGAAAACTATTGTGTTTAATATGATAAAAGTTTTGGATTTATCTAAGAAATGTACACAATTACTTTTAAAAAAAGCAAAAGTAAGAATGTAAATGAAGAAGTCAAGATCTAATTCACAACTAGGTTGATTCTCTTGTGATTACTCCCTCTGTTTAAAATTAAATGGTGTTTTATTAATGCAATTGTTTTTATAGATAAATCTCTTTTAATTGTCCCTACTTAAAATTAATAAATATATTAAATAGGATCTTTTCTGTTTCACAAAAAGTGTCATTTTCACATTTTTTGCTTGTTACATAAAAAGTATCATTCTTTAATTTCAATAAAATTTTGGTAAAATATTCCTTTTCTAACATCAAATAAAAATATTTCATAGCTTTCTAAAATGTGATAAAATTCCAAAAGCCACATTCTACCGAATATTAATTGTGTATCTTCCTAATCCCAATTATATTCAGCGTAATTAACAGTAATTGTCTCTTGTTTTATTTACAAATGGAATTTGATCTATAAAAGTCATAGATACGTGAAAAGTTCTAGTCAGCTAATATCTATTCCATCTACTCAGAATTATTTGATGTTTAAGATTTTTATACACAGATTAAAAATTTATTTAGTTTTTTTTTCTACACTAAAAACATTGTTTATAATTCATTTAAATATAATTCAGCCAATAAAAAATAATCTGCAGAATATAAAAAATCAAAAATAATAAAAATTTATTAAATTTTACATTAAAAAGTGAGAACATCAAATAATTTAAAAAAAAATCTTCTAAAACATCAAATAATTCTGAACACAAAGAGTAACTTCTAGTCAGCTAATTAAGGTCACCAATTTTTTTATTGTCCTAAAATAGTCATTTATAAATATAAAGTAATAGTAAACATGAGTGATACCTGCCAACCAGCTTCAATGGTGTTTAGGTCATGGCCAAAGGAGCCAGAGATTAGCCAAATCTGAGATAAACTGAACTCATAAGCATCTGTCACACGTGGCGCCCACACGTTTATGCTTGCTTTTGCTCCATAATATTGTTCGCCATTTACAAACACCACCGCATGCTGCATGTAAAATGAAACTCTTAATGCAACCTTTAGTTTTACACATCTTAAGTTTACACTTTATTTTTCAATATGAAGAAAATCAGTTTGAAAATTCAAAGACCCTTAAGTTTACACATCTTAAGTTTACACTTTATGTTTCTTTATCTCGATCGAATCATTTTTCTTTTTCTTTCTTATTTATGCTTTACTCTAGTTGGAGAATAAAATGCTTTATTGAACCAACAAAAGTTAAAAGTAAAAAAGCACAAGAAAACATTATTATTATTCCCCCGCATGATCGATTCGTAAGAGAGGTGAAGAAAAAGTTACCTCGTGACCGCCTCCGGAAGAATCTCTTCTGATGGGTTTTCTCAATCTCCGACCAAATCGTCGAACTGAATTTGCCCTCAAAACATCACTCTTCGTTGTTCTTCTCATCGGTATTGACCCATCTGGACAGCTTTCACCGGACTGACTCCATAACTGAGTGAAACTTTTCTCATTTGTTGTTTCATTTCCTCTACTTGGCCTCTCCGGCGAATCCTACATGTTTTCCATTTATATTAAAAAATAAATTGTATCGAAACTCAGACTAATCTCCAAAACATCTACAGTAGGGGGAGTGTTAGAGAATTACTTCTTTGTTGTCTAAAAATTATAGAACTAGTAAAAATGAAAGAGAAGATTCATTACCAGTGGTTTCTGTCCTCGTAGCCGAGGATGATCAAATGCTGGTTGCAAATGAGACAATACACATTCTATTACGTCACCATCTGGGCTCTACAGTTTCACAATAACAAAAAAAAAGTTCTCATAAATTAAAAAAACAAAAATCAAAAAGACGGAGGAGTACATAAAAGAGTATGTTAGGTTACGTGGATTGTTTTGATGGAAGGCTTGTTGATTTTCTTGAGATATGCTTCCACTGTTCTAAGCTTGTGAATCTCTCTGTTGGGTCTGAATGAGGTGTGGTTTTTATGATGAAGAGACGATCCGAGTAACAAATGTACTTGAAGAGAGAGAAGAAGTAGAAACACAATAAATTTGGATGTAATATTTGGAGTAGTTGAAGAAGAAATTGAAGAAGAAGAACAAGCCATAATCAGAGAATGTACGGATTGTTTGGTAATGAAATGGATAGGTCTATTTGTCTCCTTGTGCTTTCTTGTTTTGTTTTAGCACAAGAACAAAGAAGAAGTAGAAGAAGAAGGGAATATGATAATGAGAAGTTGGTTTAATCCCAATGTCCACACAGAGGAAAACAGAGAGGAAGCAAACAAAAAACTACAAATGATATTATCTGTTTGATTCTGTTCCCTCTTTTTTCTAGGGGGTTTCTTGGGGTTTGTATAATCTCAAACTTTCTCTCTTTCTCTCTTTCTGTCTTTCTCTCTCTAGCTTTTGTTTTAAAATAAAGAAATAAAAAAGGGAGAAAAATGAAGTAAGTGGCTTTGGGGTTGTGTTTCTGACAGAGTCTAAGCTTTGACAGGCACGAATTACCATTTAAAAGAGAGTGCTTAGAAGGTGGGGCTTTTGCCTTTTGCCTTTTCCCACGTTTTTACCCATAACCTCATGTCCACTTAACCATTTTTTACTTCACTCTAAATGGTAATAAGTTAATAATGATTATTATCTAATAAGCAATGAGGATGGGAAATGGATCTATCAGTATACTATGAAAGATTAAGGTTCAAACTCAAATTCACACTGCGTCTTTTAATATATACAAGTGGAGCAGCTAAACAGAATTTCATTGAAAAATGTATTTTCTTAAAGAAAATATGTATATAACAATTTGGATTTATCATTTTACCACAATAATGATATGAATGGAAATTACGGAAAATGTGTGAATTTAATCTTTTATTCGAAGTTAAGAAAAGCAAGAAAGTAAAACAAAGATCGAGAGTTTAACGAGTTCAGAGAAAACCGCCACCTACGTCTCGCTGAAAGGAATTCTCGAAATCTAGTATATTTTGTTCAAGCTCTAACTGGTATAATGGATGTCTCATTCTCTCTCTCCCCATCTAATTACAACAACCCTTATTTTTTAGATTGAATATTATGTAACAAGAGAAAGTTTAAACCAGTTCAGATTCTATTTTAATATGAGATAATTATGTGTAATTTGAACCTTGGTTAAGGACACAATCTTCAGAAAATAAGCAGTTCATACTACGTCGTAGAAGAACCGTCTTTCACTTTGATTCATAAGTTTTTTATTTATTCTTTTAAAGTGTAGTCAAACTATCAAAGTAACACATTAAAAAAAATATCAAGAATTATTTTTTTGGGTCATTCTTGTAATAAATAACTCTGTGCAAATCAAACATTCCTCATATTAAGTGGTTCAATTATACCTCATTGATGTGATCATGGACATGGAGCAAGAAGAAGAGCTTGTAGCTGAGGAACCATTGCTTGTGCTGACTGGTCCTATGACCCGATCCAAGACAAAAATACTTAGAGACGCTGTTGGCGGGTTACTTACTCATCTATGGAGCCAACATGACGACTTGATCCAAAGGAAAGATGTTCAAAACACTTTGGTATCAATTCAAGTCGAAGATATCTAACAAATGGAGATGTAGCCCGATATACTCTTTTTTCCTTTAGGTTGGTTTTAACCCAATGGGATTTCCAGCCAATGTTTTTAATGAGGTATTTGTTCACATCCTTAGCCCATTTTTTAGCATTTTCGAGCCCATTCTGCCTAGCAAGAGATAGCGAGTTCAAGAGTCATGCAGAATGAGACTTGAAAAGTCATTCAAACTTGTCATTTATTTTCTCTTTGTTTTCGAGAAGTCTAAATCTTTATTTCCGAGTTCTTTATAAACAATGTAAGATCATCACTTGATCATTAACGTATCTTTTCTCAAACTTTATTTCAGAGAGTGTTATTCTCTTTACTTCTTTGTGAACTTCTTTCTCTTGTTGGGTTACTTCGAGAGATATTAGGTTAATCAGGTGATTCCATCTCACTTGACGCAGCCATTCACTTGCAAAGATCTTTAAAAAGTTCTAAGTCGAGTCTAGGGCATAAGGTTTCATATACATTATCATCTGGCTTTGCAGATTCAACTGATCAACGTTCCATCACCTTGTTCTTCTTCGGATCGTTTACAAGTCGATTTTGGGGCTTAGAGTTTCATATACTCTAACATCCTTTTCCGCAAGCCATGAGTTTCAAGGATTATCTTATTACCATTATCCTTTAGGTGCTGATTCGTGGGAAAATCATATCAAGTGGTATCAGAGCACACTCAAAGAATCCAGTAATATTTATCCATCATTTCATCTATCTGTTCATCTTCTCTTCATCCCAACTTTTTACCTTCTTATCTATCTTTCTATCTGTATCATTATCACCAGAGTTAAAAAAAAAGATCGATTAAAAAAATGACAAATCTGGTTGATTCTGAAGAGTTCTCTTTTCTTTCTATCTGTTTTAGATCTCTTGCCTTTGACACTTGGAGTCTACGCATCAAATATATTGCTAGTTCTATAAGAACTCTTGAAAAACACTTGCATGAGAACATTTTGAGAACTGAGAGAAACACTTGAGAGAAATCATTGAGGGAAACACTTGTGAGATCATTTTCTACTAATCGTTTGCTCAATTTTGTAGAAAACCATGTCTAATGAAGTAAATCGTAACAATCCCGAGGTATGAATAACAACAACAACAATCTGCTGTTCCCAATCTACAAATTCAGGCTCTTATGGGTGAGATGACTCGGCTGATGCGAGTAGAATTGGAAATAATTCATCAACACTTGGACCATGTTGAAGGAGTGCAACCAAGACAGCCATCAGAAGATCCTCCCAGGCAAAGAAGAAATGAACCTATAATCGGAGGGGCTGATGAAGTTGATTATTACAACAGTGGAGGTCGCTCATCTAGTGACAATCAGAGAAGGCTGAAACGAGTTAGAGAGGGCAGAGAACGGAACGATGATGACTAGAGGGGTCTTAAGTTGAAGATACCGCCATTCTATGGTAAGAATGATCCCGATGCTTACCTAGAATGGAAAAAGAAGATTGAGTTTGTCTTCTAGTGCCAAGGATATCCTAAACATAAGTAGGTGCAATTGGCTGCCACCGAGTTTTATGATTATGCGATTAACTGGTGGGATCAGTTTGTCACCAGTCGGAGATGCCACAGAGACTGAGCCGTAGATACTTGGGATGAGATGAAAGCGGTTATATGAGAAAGAGATTTGTTCCAATTCACTATAACTGTGAGTTGCATCAAAGGCTGAGACGTTTTACACAAGGAAACAAGAGCGTGAAGGACTATTTCCAAGAGATGGAGTCACTTATGATCAAATTCGACATTGAAGAGGAAAGAGATGCAACCATGGCAAGGTTTCTGAGTGGGCTTAGCCGAGATATTCAGGATCAAATGGAATTGCAGACTTATGAGGACCTAGAAGAGATGCTGCACAAAGAAATTCTGATAGAACAACAGCTCAAAATGAAGAGAACAACACGCCAGCCAATCCATTCTAGTTCAAAACTCAACTATTACAAGAATGAGAAGCCGAGCTTTAAACCAAGGACAGATTCAAGAGTGGAAAATAAACCATTTGTTGCTGGACAAGATTCAAAGGGAAAATCTGAAAGCTCTAACACAAGGAATAGGGACATTCTATGTTTCAAATGTCACGACATCATACGTTATGCAAACGAGCGCCCTAATCAGAGAGCTATGATACTGCGTGACAATGGTGAGGCAGAAACCGAAGAGGAAAGTGAAATTTCTGACTCAACACCATCTCTAAAGGAGAATGAAGTCTACGCAGCAGGAGGAGATTTGTTGGTTACACGAAAAGAGTTAACTATGCAAGACAAATCTTAGGAGGAAGCACAGTGAGAGAACTTGTTCCACACAAGGTGCTTGGTGAAAGAAAAAGTGCGCAGTCTGATTATAGATGGAGGAAGCTGTACTAATGTGGCCAGTATAACCTTAGTGGAAAAGCTTAAGTTAGAAACAAAGAAGCACCCAAGGCCGTATAAACTTCAGTGGCTGAATAACCAGAGGAACATGAAGGTCACTAAACAGGTTGTGGTTCCGATATCTATTGGATAGCATGAGGACGAAGTATGGTGTGATGTCTTACCAATGGAGGTCGATAAAATCTTGTTAGGAAGAACGTGGCAGTTTGACCGAAGGGTGACTCATGATGGCTACACTAATAAGAATTCTTTCAAGTTCCAAGGGAAAAGAATCACATTGGTTCCCTTAACTCTACAAGAAGTGCATCAGGATCAAATGCCACTTGTACAAAAGAACTTCAATGCTTCGAGTGAACCCCCAAACACTAAAAACACCAAAGAAGAGAGTTAGAGTGTGAGAAAATCCAGGTAAAGGTCTTTGAGAGCAACTCGAGAGGCATTCCAACTTCTTTGTGAGATCAGGAGAGATTAAGCAGGCTTTGTTTTCTAAACAACCCTTGCTACTTTTTGTCTACAAGGAAACTCTTATGAGTTTGACTAACCTGATACCGGTGCTACCGAGTGAAATGAATTCTCTTTTGCAGAATTTCAAAGTTGTTTTTCCAATAGAAAATCCGCAAGGACTACCACCAATTCGAGGAATAGAACATCAAATCAATTTTGTCCCTGGAGCTTCACTTCCAAATCGACCGGCTTATAGGAAAAATCATGTGGAAACTAAGGAGTTCCAAAACAGGTTAACGATCTCATGGAGAAAGGATACATCTGTGAAAGTATGAGCCCTTGTGCTATACCGATTCTGCTTGTGCCAAAGAAAGATGGTAGCTGGCGCATGTGTGTTGATTGTAGAGCAATCAACAACATCACAGTAAAGTATCGCCACCCTATTCCTAGGTTAGATGACATGCTTGATGAGTTATATGAGTCTAGTGTCTTTTCTAAGATAGATCTCAAAAGCGGTTATCACCAAATTAGGATAAAATAAGGGGATGAATGGAAAACAGCCTTTAAAACCAAGCATGGGTTGTATGAATGGTTAGTTATGCCATTTGGGCTGACAAACGCACCTAGCACTTTCATGAGACTGATGAACCATGTTCTAAGAGCTTTTATTGGAGTTTTTTTTGTAGTTTACTTTGATGATATCTTAGTTTACGACAAGAACTTAGTTGAGCATGTTGAACATTTGAAAGCGGTTCTGAGCATTCTTAGGAAACAGAAACTTTATGCCAATCTGAAGAAATGTACTTTTTGGACAGATAACCTTGTCTTTTTAGGTTTTGTTATGAGTGCAGACAGTATTAAAGTTGATGAAGAAAAGGTTAATGCAATCAGGGAATGGCCGAGTCCAAAGACCATCAGTGAAGTAAGAAGTTTCCATGGCCTTGGCGGCTTCTATAGAAGTTTTGTGAAGGACTTCAGCACCATAGCAGCGCTGCTTACTGAAGTGATAAAAAAGAATGTGGGATTCAAGTGGACATATGCGCACAAAGAG